AATTCGATTCCAGGATATTTCTAATGAGGATTTTTATCTTTTAAGAAACTGTTTTCCCATGATTTTTGGGTAACTCTATTAAATTATTATCTACTTTTTGGTAAACGACAAACATTGAATTTATTAGCATCAAGAAACCAAGGGATTAAAGCAATATTTCCAGAACTTGAATCAGTAATAATTAACCAAATGTTAACATTGCCTTTTGCAAGTTGGATTGATAAAAAAAATCCACCATACACTTCATTCAGAGAAGTCAAATATGAATTTAAACTTCTATATCGTAGTAGTAGAGATGGTTTAGATGGAGACATATTTCATAAAAAATGTGGCAACATCAACAAAACTTTTGTAGTTGGCAAAATACAAAATTCAGAGCAAATAGTTGGTGGTTATAATCCACTTAATTGGAATGGGGGGGACTTAAAGCTACAACTGAAAGTTTTGTATTTAACATAAATAATAGAAATGACATTAATGCTGCTCAATTTAGTTATGTTAATAATAATAATGAATATGCAATTTGGTGTAATTCTTCTTATTTACCTACTTTTGGAGGTGGTTATGATATCCGTTTTTATCCAAATAGTAGTATTTATAATGTTTCACATGCTTATGATAACATCAATATAGTAAATGGTTGTAGATTTAATGAATTGGAAGTTTTTCAAATAATTGATAAAAATTAATCAGACAGAACCGAATTAGAGGGGGTAGTAGATATAATAGAACAAAAGGCTTATTACTGTCAACTGGGCGATAAGGAACTTCATCTTTACCATTTGTATTCACATTGCTCATATTTTTTAAAAAATACCTTGACCATTGCAATGAAACACAATGTATATTTTATTTTAGAGGAAAGCAATTCAATTGTTAAGTTGCAATAAAATGATTTGTTGACATTAACACATATATATATAAACGTTTAATATTATTCACATCATTAAATACATTATTATACAATTAAATTTAATACTTTGAATAGCTTTACCAAAAAAAAAAAGAAAATTATTTAGATAGGTATATTTGGTTGCTGACAAATAGGAAGGTGGTTAAGTTAGCTAATTGTTGATGTTGATTGTGTGAAAATATATGCCATCTATTATTTCATTTGCTGCCATATAAGTTACAATATAATGAAGATTTCTGTAGGTATTCCAGACTGTTATAATTTTTGCATTTTAGCACAACTACCCAATATTTTCACATATATTTTCTAGTGAGGTTGATAAAAGGAATAATTACTTAATAGTATTCCAAATTTAGTCAATAATATCACCCTTTTATTACACAAAAAAACGTGAATTCCAATGAATTACAATCGGCTCTTTTTTCAAAAAAAATAAATTTTATTCAAAATGTTTAAAAACTACTTTGATTTACCGGTTAAACATATTAATAAACTTGTAAATGATTTAACAAAACTGTTGAATGAATCAGACTTTTATGATATAAAGATTAAAGTTGGAATAAAACAAGGGGATTTTAGAATTTTTAAAGCTCATTCAAACATTTTAAAAGCAAGGTCTTCATACTTTAAAGCAGCTCTATCAAATATTTGGGTAAGCAGGTCTGAGGATGGTACCATTTTATTTGAAAAAGATAACATATCTCCAAAGATATTTGAAGTGATTTTAATGTAAGATTAATTCAATTAAATTAATTACTTGATTACAATTATAATATTAATGTGATTTTTTTAACAATATGTCTTTATTTTAAAAAAATTGTTTTTTTAAAAAGATATATTTATAATGGAATTATTAATAAGGATGGTTTGAATCCTTACGAAATTATTGAACTTCTTGTGGCATGTGATGAATTGGATCTTAATGAATTACTTGATGAATTGCAATATTTCTTAATTGAAAAAAAGAGTGAATGGGTTAAACAAAATTTAAATTATCTTCATCAGACTTTATCAAGTTATCTATCATTTAATATACTCCAAGATTATTTTGAAAAATTAATTAAAAAAGGTCCAGAATTATTTTTAAAATCTGATGACTACAAAATTATTGAAAAGCCCATGCTTATATCTATTTTAGAAAGGGAAGAATTAGAATTAGGTGAGATTGATCTTTGGGATTATATCATTCAATGGGGAATTGGACAAATTGAAAATGAAGAAAAAAGCATTTCAGCGTGGAATGATGAAGATTTTAAAAAGTTAAAGGATATATTGGTTGATATTATACCACTAATTAGATTTAATCATATTTCTGCAAGTGATTTTAATAATAAGATTAATCCATTTAAAAAAATTTTTGATGAAAAAGAATATGAAGGACTTTTACAATATTGTTGTTTTAATAATTGGCAGCCAAATTCACTACTTCAAAAAAGTTTAAGATTAGGGAAAGGATTATTTAATTTACAAATGAGAGTTTTAATTTCCAACTGGATTGATAATAAAAATGATTCATACAACCTAAATAATCTACCATATGATTTTGAATTGATTTTTCGAGGTAGTCGTGATGGATTTAGTGATTTTGAATTTCAAGAAAGATGTCATGATATTGAACAAACTATTGTATTAATGAAACTTAATGAAACAGATGAAATTATTGGTGGCTACAATCCAGTTGGTTGGCATATAAAAGAGAAGCCTGAACATGAAGAATATTTTATTGAAACAGACAAAAGTTTTATATTTAAAATTGATGAAAACAAAATGGATAGTTTAATATTAAGTAGAATTGAATATCCTAAATATGCAATATTTCATACAGATCATACAATTATAGACTTTAATGATTTAAAACTCTTTTGCAGCACTTTTGGAGAACTTATGTATTATTATCACTTTGATGTGGAGAGCAATTCTTATGAAAATAACTTGCATCTTACTGATAATGATATAAAATATTTTGATATAGAATCTAATTTAGTAAAAGATTATGAAGTATATAAGATAGTTAAGAAAAATTATTCATTTTTAAATTAGCTAATATAAATATATATAATATATTTCAATTTTATATTCATTTATATAATTAATAAAATTGATGTGTTTTTCTACCATTAACAAAGGTTTATCATGATTGGGAGAATAAACAAGATCATGCTATAACATGTGATTTTATCCTTACAAAAAATAATTAAAAATAAATTAAATCCTACTCTAATGAAGTGGAATTGAAAAATTTTACTGTCTATACAGTCTAAGCTCTCTATCCCAAACCTCTCGATTCTTTCTATGGTTGGCTCGGTCTAAAGACCTCCTATTGCTGCGCCCCACGCTCAAATTTCAAAAATTGCGATTTCATGATTCGTTCAAAAATGCAATAAAAACTTTTCAAAAAGGCTTCACGTGATTTTGGTTAAAAAATTTATTTTCCTTCCTGCCAAATTTAGACATGATTGTCGAGTATTAGTCTAAATTTAGTAACGATGAACTAAAACTAGTCTAAATTTAGCAATGATCCTAGCGCTCAAATTCTTCATGAGCATAGTAAAGTACATGTTTTAAAAAAGAATAGAACTCTACAACAAATAATTTTTTTGATAAAATCTCTTTATTACATTAAAATTAAAGACCTATTCCATCAACTAATAGAGCTATTTTTTTAAAAGGTAGGGCAGAAAATGACTTCTATACTTTTAAAATTTGCACAAAATTTAGGAGGTCTTTAGACCGAGCCAACTATATAACGAACGTCTCTTTTGTCTCTGATTCAATTTTTTATAATTAATTTCTCTCTCTATAATGAACAAAAGCAGAAAAATTACATATAGGACAGAGAGTTCGGTATATCAAGCGCCGAATGTATCTTCAGAAAAATTGGATGTGATTGGATATTCACGCAGATAGTTTCCAAATTTGTACTAGCCAAAATTTCACTATATCGAGCGTCGACTGTATTGAGAAATTATTCTTAAATGGGACTAGCCAAGCATTCAGAAATTAATAATACAAACTATATTAAAACATTGTCGGAACAAAATATTACTGATTTAAGAAACGCTTTGAAATAATTAGCTCGATTCCAGGATATCTCTAACGAGGATTTTTGTTACAAAATTTTGCCTTTTTCCTAATGATTTATGGGAAACTCTCTTAGAATGACAAACATTGAATTTATTAACATCAAGAAATCAAGAGATTAAATCAATATTAACCAAATGTTAATATTGCTTTATGCAAGTTTTATTGATAAAAAAAAATCCGCCATATACTTCATTCAGAGAAGCCAAATATGAATTTAGACTTCTATATCATTGTAGTAGAGATAGTTTAAATATCAAAATGTGACAAGATCAACGAAATTCGGAGCAAATATTTAGTGGTTACAATTCACTTAATTGGAATGTAAACATGAATAATGAATATAAGAATACAGCAGAAAGTTTTATATTTAATATAAATAATAGAAATGGCATTGATGTTGCTTCCTTTAGTTATGTTAATATTAATATTAATATTAACATTAATTTGCAATTTATGTACATAATATCGCAAGGATTAAATAAAATATTGCTAGCTTTACTTTTTACAAATTTTCAAATCAAGAAATATTATTATTAGCATAGAAAAGAAATTAGTTGAAATCGGTGTGATCTAAAAAAAATATTACTTTCTCTTCTCAAGAGCTAGCGATCAATAGCCAGATATCGATAGACTTAATTTCAGAGCCTTTATCTTCAATTATAAAACGTCTAAAGCAAGTATTTAATCGGAAATCATTCAACTATGAATGGTGTTAGACATTAAGTCTTAATGTTAATGCTAATACATTATTTATTTTTATTATAAAATTAAAAAAAAAATTTATAATACAGTCAAACAACGCAATCAGCATTAAACAGTTTTGGCATAACGAGTTTTAAATACAATTTTTTCTTATATATTTCAATATGTACGCGAAGGAGACATTCATTGCAACGTGAATGTTATAATTCGTTGAAACAAAATTTGGCAGTAAACAAATTTTATTGTTATTATCTTTAGTAGCAAAGTTTACAATGCATCAATTTATTAGTATCATCATATTTCAGCCATGAAAATGTAGACGGCCATTCGTATTTGAAGTTTTGTCTTTTTATTTTTTGGATGGGTTGTGTATAATCGACGAAGCTCGGGTCACCTCGTAATTGACAAAGTCACTCACCAAGACGAAGTGTCGTTTTACTAGGATCCCAGTCATTATTGGAACGCTTGAACCACTTCGTAACTGTGCCAATTCTAGCCATAATTGTGATAGCTATAACAATAATTTGAGGATCTGATCCTGATTTTTGTAGAAGATTCTTATTATACAATTGTACACAAATTATCGAGAAGTAAAAATAATCTCATAATGCATTTTTATTTCGCTTTTCTAAAGGGAACCAACTATTCTGTTATTTGATTCCTACATCATATCCCTATAAAAAATTTAGTCAGAAAATGTATGGTTTTTTCATACATTTTCCGCATATTCTGTATGGAATATGTACGGAATTATACATTAAAAGAGCGCTTTTCCGCGCATATTTGCCCTGAAAATGTATGGAAAGTACATGGAAAATGCATGGAATATGTATGGAATTTTCGGAGAATGTCCTGAAAAATTACATTCCGTATATTTTCCATACATTTTCAGTGCATTTTCAGGGCAAATATGCGCGGAAAAGCGCTCTTTTAATGTATAATTCCGTACATATTCCATACAGAATATGCGGAAAATGTATGAAAAAACCATACATTTTCTGACTAAATTTTTTATGGGATGATTGCAAAAATGATTGTTTTATTTGCTTATTAATAACAATAATTCATATAAATTTTTTTATGCAAAATCGACCTGTGGTACTTACAGAAAAAAGAAAATATTTAGATCTGTAAAAATATTAAAAGTATAAATATAATTTGAATTTGTATTTTTGGCCAGAATTAAGTATTTCGCATTTGTAAAGTGATTGAAGATTAAGCGCATTTGCTGCTATCGATAATTCCAATGCATTGGTTCCAATATAATTGTATAATTCATTTTTATAATTATACAAAAGTCTTTATAAATAAATGTTGTAATTATTAATTTCAAACTAATTATTTCGTTGTCTTACAAAAAACCAATTCATTGACCATTTTTTTGTTATGAATGTGTGTATGATTTTCAGTTACATTTGGTTGGTTCTTCACCATCATTGATTTTTGTCATTAAAATATTCAAATTTCTCCTTTTTTTTTTTTTTTGAGATGAATGAACCATTGTTGATAAAAAGGAAATTCAACTATACTTTTCAACGATTTTTTGTTTGTTCTAACTGCGATGACGAATGCGAATTAGAGTTTGTTTTTTTTAACTATGAATAATTTCGGATAACAATAAACATATTCTAACATAGCCCGTTTATAAAATTTCTTAATATATTACGAACTTTTATATAGTTAGCGCCAAAAAATTTTTATTGAGAGTTTAATTTATTTTTGAAGCAATCATTTTCCGTCAAAATTTTTATACATCTGTGGGTTAAACAAAGAAAGCAATTTATTGAAAAACACATTTTTACATTGGTAATATTTTAGGTGACAGTCTTGTATTGAGAGCCTTTACCTTCAAATTGAAAATATCTTTAAGAGTTAAGGAGCATTTCTTTATCAAAGTTGCTTTATATTTTTTGTGGATTTATTTTGTGGTCAATTCATGCTTTTGATTATCTAATTTTCCATAGAAAGGGCACAACAACATTCTATTAATATTGAGAAAAAATAAATAAATAAACTATTCATGTAATAATTCATTTGTTCTTCAGAAAAAATATGACAATCCTTCTATTATATAATAAAAAAAAAACACGAAATTTTTTACAAGTTCACCACGTGTTAAAATTTTTACCGATCTCTTCTAAACTTACTTTATATCAAATAAACTTGAATGTCATTATTAAAGTAAAACAAAATTGCTCCATCAAAGAATACCTTTTCATATTGAAAGATCTTCTCTACATAAATCCACAGCTGTTCCGAAATGGTATTACTTTTTCGCTTCAAAGTTAAAAGACTTGATTATAGCTGAGAAGGTGTAAAAGGCTCCAAAATTTCATATGGTCATTACTTTACGGGGGAGTTAGTTAATAGTTTTAGAGAGATTCACAAAAAAGGGTTTTATAAACGCTTTAATACTAGTACCATTCAACAAAAATTTTTAAATAAAAGAACCAAGTATATTGTAGACAGTAATAATAATACGGGGTTTTTCTATTATATGCAATACTCACTTGTAATTGCACAAATAATATTATGAGGAGATTCGTCATAATAACTTAAATGATGCTAAAAAAAATTTGGTGGATCATTACTTCTCATGCATGTACTTGAGCTACTTGTGTTGCGTGGCGGGACCCGTCAATTTTTTATAAATTTAATTAACATGTTTGAAAATTTTCAGAAAAAAAATGGATTCAACAATAACAGAAAAATATTTTAATGAAAATGAAAGATTATTAAATACAGGGGAAAACAGTGATGTAAAAATCTATGCTGGTGTAAAACCAAACATTAGAGAAATTTATGCCCATTCATTTATTTTACAAGTTCACTGTCCATTTTTTAAAAATGCTTTAACCAATGCAACAAAAAAAAATGGTTATTATATTTTTAAAAAACCAAATATTGGTGAATCAACTTTTATCCCTATTCTAAAGTAAGTAATTTACAAAAGTTAAGCAATTAATTGAAAAAAAAATTTTTTTAATTGAATATCTTTTTTTATTTTAAAAGATTTTTATACACTAGTAAAATTGAATTAGACAAATTTACTGGAGTTGATATTTTGGAAATTTTAATTGTGGCTAATGAACTTGGTCTCAAGTCACTTTATGAGCATGCAATGAATTATTTTATTGTCAATCATGAAGATTATATAAAGGAAAATCCGGTTGGAATTATCAAGTCAATTTGTTCAAATGAAGAGATTTTCAAGGAGTTAAAAAATATTTATTTGGAAACATTTTGTGAATATAGTGAAGAGTTATTTGAATCAAGTGAATTTCAATCATTAGAAAAATCAATTCTATTGGAGATTCTCAAAAGAGATGACTTTTCTGTTGATGAGATAGTTATTTGGGAAAATATTATTGAATGGGGATTAGCAAGACATCAAGAAATTGATAAAAATAATAACGTTGAAGATTGGCCATCACAAAAATTTTCTTTTTTGAAAAATACTCTGAAAGAATTTATTCCTTTGATTAGATTCCAGGATATCTCTAATAAGGATTTCAGTAACAAAATTTTGCCATATCAAAAGATTTTTCCTAGAACTTTTTGGAAACTTTTATTAAAACATCGTTTGGTTCCTGATGAACAAAATGCTTTAAATTTACTTCCGTCAAGAAATCCAAAAATAAAATCAACATTTTCAGAACTTGGATCATTAACAATTAATAAAAAGGTTATTTTGCTTTTTTCAAGTTGGATCGATGGAAAAAATCAACCATACACATCATTCCGAGATGTTAAATACAAGTTCGAACTTTTATATTGTAGTAGTAAGGATGGTTTAAGTTATGTTACATTTCATCAAAAGTGCGACAATATTAACAGAACTCTTGTAGTTGGCAAAATACAGAATTCAGAGCAGTTAATAGGTGGATATAATCCGCTCAATTGGAATGGCAATGATGGAATTTATATATATAAAAACACAACGGAAAGTTTTATTTTTAATATTAGCAATAGAAATGATATTAAGAATGCACAATTTAGTTATGTTATTAATAATGATTTTGACAATGCAGTTTATTGTAGTTTTTATAATTTACCTATTTTTGGTGGTGGTTGTGATATTGTATTTAATACAAATGGTATTATTCGTAGTAATATAAGGACTTATAATAATATTAATATAGCAAATAATAGTGTATTTGATGAATTGGAAGTTTTCCGAATCATTGATAAAGATTAATTAATTCAAATATGTATTATCGTTAGCTACAGTCAAAATTTTTTACTCGATTCAATTTTTTTTTTTATAAATACTTTTATAATTAGAAGAAAATTACATTCGAATCTCTGGACTAAATTTCTTAAAAATAATGCATTCATTTTTTGACAAATCTGTCTTTTCTTAAAATAATAATAAATTCAATGAGAATGAAAGGGTTTTAAATACGGAAGAAAATAGCGATGTGAAATATGTTGGTGTAAAACCAAACATTAAAGAAATTCATTTATCCTACAAGTTCACTGTCCATTTTTTAGAAATTCAACAAAAAATAAAATTCTTGAAAGACCAAATGTTTGTGAATAAGATTATTAAATATTGGGTTGGAATAATTCAATTTTCGTAAAATATATTATTCTGGTTTGAGAATTTTATAGCCATCTTCGGACCAAGTAATGCACTTTTCAATAGATGGATCCACATTCTCTTTATACTTTGTTGAAATAAAAGTACAGCAATTTCTACAAGTTGTAACGAACTTCAACAAGCCACTTAACAAGATTTTTCCCGTCTTCCGATTTAAATTTAATTCTAATTGGCTCAGTCCTGCTAATCACATGACACCAAGAGAAATAATTTATTATGGAGTTCTAATTTCCAATAAAGATAAATCATTGATCTACTTTGGCGTATCTTTCTCATTCTCTTTTTTCTCTACCTTGACATTTTCTGTGTTTCATATATTTCCTTATTTGGTCACATTGCAATCCATTTGTCCAATTAGTCCCATGACTAGTTTCCCAATAACTGAATTTCACTAGCTAGATTCCCATTAGTCATATAGCTATCAACCGCTTGTCCATTACAGGTGAATACTGGTCGACCATTTCAGGTTCTTCTCCAGCTGTACATGCAATAAAATAAAAATAAATAAGTAAAGAAATATATACAACTGAGTCATCCTTACAGGAAACATAATAATATCAAAAGGTTCTCAACTAATAATTAAAGGTCGACCAAACCATCAATAATCAGAAATCAAATCATATCGGCTTTATTTATTTATTACAGTCAAAGACTATTTTTATATTATCAAAAGATTAAAAGATTATTTCATCCTTCTTTATTACACTGAGGGAAATTTCAAGCATATTTAGTAATAGTGATTACTAATGTTAAATGCCAAAAATGTATCATTGATTGATCAAAGTTGGCCTCAATTTATTGTCTCATAATAATTGGTTATCTTATAAATGAACCAATAATCCCTTTAAAAAAAATAGATAAATCACACATACTTTCAAATAATTATACTTTGGCCATCATTATAAATCACGCATTACCTTGAGCTCTTCCTTTTTTGCACAGGTCCCTACTAAGTGTTCAGATTCTATTACAATATTTGTAACTAGAGCAATAACAATAAAAGATTTTTTTATTTACAATGCTTGTAGGTGCTATAGACGTTGGCTATTTTGGTTCTGATTTTTGCTTTAGCGTTTCCACTTTTCCTAATTCTTATTTAAATATTTAATTGCTGGAAACTTGTTTTCAATTTTGTTAGATCTTATTAAACAAAAAAGAGTCAAGTTATAATCTGATTATAAATATTTAAGTTGATTGTAATATATTTTTAATAAACTCGCTTTTCAATACGTTTCTTGAATGAAAACTTTGCGCTTGGACCTATATGCAATATGTATATTGGATCATTCATTAATTAATTCATGATAATATGTTCTCATGGAAGATCTTTGACATGGCAGCCCTTTGTTCTTTGTTGCTGGTTTAAATAATTTGTATATTAATCTCTAAAATAATGTAGTATATACTGTATGTAACATAGGTTCGGAATTATTAACTTGATGATTCTTTAAATTTTAATAAAAATAATTCAAAATATCATGTAGCAAGTGAAAATTTTCAAATGATTATATTGGACAAAGTTTTATTTTTAATTTTCACAAAAATTCTTTCACAGTGCAAAATATATTGAAAGATTCTTAATTGCAATTAGTAACAATTATAATATTGCTATAAAATTATTTAAATTTTGGAATTAGTGTTGAAGATTTATAAGAGTATATATTTTAGTAAAGAAAAATAATTAATTAATTAAAAAAAAGATTTTAAATATTCATATTCTATGAATTGATGTGGAAACCAAGTTGTGAATTAGAAATTGCAAGTAGTGCTTTGCTAATTTATAAATTTACATTTAATAATTTAATCATCATTTATTTTATTGACTTTTTTGCCAGATGGAAGAATTACTATATGAGGAATTGATTTAGAGCTCTTGGAATTGTCTGGTCATTCTTAATATTTGATTTATATTATTATCACTAGCTGGACAAAAGTATTTGATCACGTGTAAAAAACCTACATAACAACATCACACGAAATTTATAATATTATGCACCTAGATTTTGGTAATTATATATTCGAAGTTTCACGTTGCTAGTTTTCATGTATCAAACTTAATAAAAAAAATTTTTTTTTCACCAAAATTGAAATTATTTATTAATTTTTCGTTGGTCGCGATTCTAGACATGAAATTTCATATATTTATTCTTCAAAACAATAACCCTCATTTATGTAAAATTTACAATTTTTTATTATGTAAATTTTTAAACAACGTGAAAATATAGCAAAATGTTTAAATTTTTTATTTGGATTTTAGCCTTTTTTTATTAATCTTGATACTTGGAAGCTAACAACGTGAAATTTCGAATATATAATTATCAAAGTCTAGTACTAGATGCATAATGTTATAAATTTCGTGTGATCTTGTTATCCAGCTAGTGTATGTAATAGTTAGCTTTTTTTTCAATACTTTGTGCTTACACTGAATATATTTATGAAAATCTTGACAACCTGAGTCAGTTTATTGATATAGGAAAAATAAAATAAAAATAATATATATTACAAAATCGATTTAGAATACTTTATTTCGATTTTTTTTGAAGACTGTTTACAATAACCTGTAAATTTACAATGATTCCATTCTGAAGATTGTAGATTTTCTTTATATTAGTAGCATTACAAGTTCTTCCCATTTTTGAAGAAGATAAGCGCGAATCATAATATCAGGTTTATCACCTCTCGATCCCGTTTTTTGCATGACTTTCCGGTTTTTACTAGCTATGCTTTGTCGTTCAGACCTGGTAACTTCGATCTCAAAATTCACAGGTAGATGATACATAGTCAGTAAACCACGTTAATACAGTTATATACAATAAGAATT